GCTCTGCTAAGCACACAGGAACCTCTGAACCTCTGCTGTACCTGCCAATGCAGCTTTGAATGTAACAGCTGTCAGAAATCTACCAGTCAGAAAAGACTGGTAAACACAATGTTTGGTTTTTTTTTTTTTTTTTTTTTTTTTTTTTTTTGCTATAACACAAAAACAGCAAAGGGTACTTAGAGATTACAGAGCCTCATTTTGTTTCTACCTTGCTTCCAGAGTTTCCACCTTAAAGAGTAGCCATTCCTGAGTAGAAGACCACCCACTCCTTTAGCAATGGGTTGCTGTTTCCTATTCAGTGATAGAAGGTGCTGGAGATGGACAGTGAACAATGCCCATGGTACACTGTACTCCAGTGCCTGGCTTACTAGAAGCATAGGGCCAAGACACACCTGGACAACCCTAACCTGTCCTTTCTGAAGAAAGCCTTGTCTGTGCAGTTCTGGATTCTGAAGACCTTGCTTTCAACAGGACATTAACTACCTATACAAGTATTCAACTTGCCCTTCAGGGAAAAAAAAAAAAATACTGTCTGTTAAATTTCAAATTTCTTGACCCTTTCTGCTCTCCCCTCAGGCTGACACCCAGCTTACACACAGCAGTATGTGTCTTTGGTCCTTTCTGGGCATGGCAGATCACTCAGTGCGCCTTGTCCCTCTGATGGGTTCTAAGGGTGAGATGTGGGGAGCACACTTTGGGCCGTGCACAGGGATCATTTTCCTCATTTTCAACTTTGTATTTTGCTAGACTGTACTTTCTGGGAGAGTGCAATTTTTCCATGAGGAAATTTTTACTCTGAAATAAGAAAGATCCACTTTTTGATTAGTTAATTAACATTGTTGAGTCTTCCATGGTGGGATAAGATCTTCCACATTAGACCTTCTTTCCACAGTGGGACCCGACATAGTATCTCCAAAAACGGAAAAGTGGAGCAGACTGGGCTTTGGGCTCTACTCCTATGCAATAAAACAGTGATTTCTTTCTTTCCTTTTGTTTTTTAATCTGCAACAAGATACAGTTCTGAAATGTATTCTTGCTAAACAAAGGAAAGCTGTATTCGTTTTTGTCAGAACAGCGCTTTGAAATTCCCCAAGATAAGACACATAAATAAATGAAGAATTATACTTGGCAATGAATTTGGCATCAGACTTTAAATGCTTCATAGTTCTGGGCTGAGCAAATAAGTTGAGCATGTCTCTAGAACCTTTCCGGAGATGTGCTCGGAGTGTTTGGATATACTTGGCAGCACCACGTTCAGGGGAGGAAAGAAAGAGGAAGTTGCTTATTCAAAACGTGAGAAAGGGTTACAACACGCGACATGCCTGACATTTAAGTGATAGAAGTGTTTTACATATGCTCTTTTGGCTTTGGTCTGACACCTAGACTCTGCCATGGTGCAACTTAGCACTGTCACGGTACAGCCTTGATAACTCAACTCAGAGATGTGACTTCCCACTCCTTTTGGTAACATATGGGCTGCAGATCGCCCAGCCTCAGCGCGAGCTGAGGGAGTGTACAGCAGCCACAGCATAGACCCTGCGAGCTCCCCAGCTGCACGAGGTGCCTTTGCAGGCTGTGCCATCCTCTAGGGTGGCATTTGCATTACTGAAAATTGTGGCTAATTAGAAATAAACAGAAAAATGCTTGATTTACAGAGGAATGTGTGATTCTGCTAGCTAATTTTTTTTTTTTTTTTACCGTCTTAACATTCACAGAATACACTGATCATGCTAATGCTTTCAATATATTCATTAATAAGGACAATTTACATTTATATAGCATCTCTCTTAGTTAAAAATCTCAAAGCTTTCAGCAAAATATACACAAAAAATTAAATCCATTTCACTGAATATAGTCATCGTTGGAATGAAAATCAGCAATTTTGGAACACTGCAGAAGAACATTACACAACAGATGAAAATAAGACAAAGCAAAATCCTCAAGAACCCAAGGCAAAAGAATCCCTGAGACGCCAGATACAATTGTAGGTAAAAAGGACGTTATTATGCAAACAGCACCGTGAACCGGGCCTGCGGTGCCCCAGGCAGCAGTGCTTGGAGGCAGCAGACATACTTCAGAATGATTAAAGGAATATTCTTCATACATGTGCAGCCTACTGCTTCTGCAACAGTGGGATCTCTGTGGGAGACTCTCAGTTTAAACTGGGAATCTGCTGAGAAGAATGAATGGGGGAGACTTGATGGAGTCTGGTGATGAGAAATGGAGAGGTGGGTAAGTATGTGAATTGTAAATGGCACATATCTGACCACTGAGCTTCCTTTTTTACAAATGGCCTCCACATTTTAAAAGCCATTTGTTATGTTAATACATTTTTCTGAAAAAATAAAATGAAATAAAAATGAACTTCTTGTTTGAAATGATGAGTTTTAATACTCTATCATAGTGACACACAACTAGAATTCCCAGACCAAAATGAAGTCATCTATTCTCTTTGTGTTCAAACTCCTTCTATCCTAAACCTCATCTACTCTAAGCACTGATCAAGTCTCCACACACAGTATTACAAAGTCAAGAGTCAGAGGTAGGAAAAAAAGCCATCCATCTAAAGTAAAATTAATAGCAAAACTTGGAGAGAGCATGCATGTGTTAGCAGGACCAAAACATGAGCTATTACATGACAAACGCATTGATAAATGTTCCACCCTCCAAATGCAAAATAACTTGGGTTTGGTTAATAAGCATCCATTATAACTATTTCCCATTATTCTGAGGCAGACAAGGCAGTTTTCATACTTGACCCTTGAAAGCAGATTTGGTTTTGTAATTAACATGTTATCCAGGGATTTTTCTTTCCACATCTCTCTTCTCCTTTCAGTACTTTCCCTCCAGCACAGAAAAGATTTCCTTGCCTGCAGTTGCTGCCACATTCAACAACTGCTGGCTGAGACCTCACAACACACTGCATAAATTCACTTCAAATTATTCAGGTTTGGCACATTTCTGCTGGTGAGTAACAACAACCTTTTTGTTTCTGAGACAAAGGAAACAAAGATTTAAAGAAAGAGCAAAGGCAGCCTAATAAGAATCCCACATTTCCTACTTTTTCCTAATCTGGTTAAAAAGTCTCTAAAAGCCTGAGAAATTCAACAAAGCTAAGTTGTTGTGGACTGTTTGTCTTTCAGTACAGAATCAACACAGATGGAACAGCCTTCCCAGCACGACTTCTGACCATAGGTCAGATATGAGGTAACTTTCTCTTCGCCTGTTAGAAGTTTTGGTTTTAGTTTTTCACTGAATTGTCGTGTTTGAGGGTGCTATTACAGCTAAAGCCACGCTAAGATCCAGGATCCTGACACTGAATCCAGACTTGGTTGGCATTTCAATCATGTCCACACAACAAGACAAGAGCTCATTCAGTGCAGTTACAGCCATGATACAAGCAATCAAACAAAAGAAGCCAGAGGGAGAGACTTGGGCACTTCTTTACACTGCGTGTAAAAACAAAGCATAAACCATACTTCCAAACTGATGACACTTTAAAATGTTAAGCTATAAAGTCCCTGTTAAAACTGATACTATGAAACAACCTTTATGACAACGTTTTACTTTCATGCTGAGTTACATCTCTACATATTTATTTTTGAGAAGTGTATGAATCTTGAATTTGGGTTCCCTCCTGCCGGAAATTCCTTGGGTTTCCTGACTTAGTGTGAACCAAGTTTCTGATCTCTTTGTGTTATACAGATGCTCATACAACTCCACTGACAATCACCCCAAGCATTTTCTAGGAAAGCAAAACCCTTTAGACGGCAAAAATCTGTGATCCATGCCTCTAACTTCACCCTCTTCACTCTCATGCAGCAGCAGAAGAGTTAATAAGAAAGAAGAGAATCAGCAATGTCATTATGTTTGGAAAGATCTCTCTCATACTGTATTTAGGTGAAAAAAAGTGAAATACTTGGCCCAATCCCTGCTACGCACTTAGATTTATGTCAAAAGTGTTTTATTACTATTTATAACAATGACTCAGTAGACATTTTTAAAGTACCATAATGCCACAAACTGAAAACACTCCTGTATCTGAGCTCTCCAAAATTAACAAGTGTTGTATCACATAGCACAGATTGAGGCTATGGTGAGACACTACAGATTGTAATATGAACTCAAAGCATAAACAATTCCTTAAGTCCCCCATGTCTTTCTCTGTCAGCTCTTCTTTTCACATACTTTTATATCTTGCCTGCATACTCAGATGTTGGTTTGAAAAATCCAATACATTAACACCATGATACTGCTAATGAAATCTTACATCCTTTTAGTCCCAAATTCCAGAAACATCTAGTTTTAAAACTGCCATTATGGTGGCTAATCACCAGCTCAAAGGAAATGCTGTTCTCTTTTTAATCCAGGGAAAAACTTGACCATCTTTCTTTAATGCTATCAACCTGGAAGCTTGACAGTAAGGATTAAAAATTGCTCTTTCCTTCCCACTTGGTTATTGGAAAGGCTGTGAAAGGCAATCAGTCTTGTGAAGCCACACTTCACAGTCTGCATAAAAATGCCACGATTCCCAGTCCTCTCCCCAGTCTAATTGAAAGTGCATAATATCAAACAGCTGGGGGAAACTAAACTGTAAACATATGCAATATATCATGTTATCATACAAAACCTGTTACTAATAGGCATTTGATGATCAGCAGATTGAAAGGGATCTGAAACCAGAGATTATTTTTGCTGCAGTGTAAGAACTTTTCCCGAGCGAAAAAGGAAAAAAGCACACTCTCAGCAGGGAAGGAATTGGACTGGAGTCTGTTCATTCATTCTCTTTGTGAAATATGGACTTTTTTTAATGATTTTTGTTTGACTGCTGACTAGCTCAGATGCTTTGGGGGCACTGCTGGAGCAAACCACAGTTTTGGTTAAGAGGAAATTCATGCCTTTCTAGCCAGTAAATACAGATGTTTAGGGCATGCGAACAGGCTCCCTGTCCAGCCCACTCCCAAGCTATCATTGTTTCTAATGCCAGGTGGCAATATTACCTGTCACCAGGAACCTGCGGGTAGTGCTGCTTGTTTATTTTTGCATACAATCCTTCCAAGTGTTCCCTCTCCATTGGTGTTGAAGAAGAATCACGCGGATAGACAAAGGTTTCTGCAACTGCTGGTGATGATGGTCTGTAAATGCTTGGTGCTGGATAAGCCTCTCGGAAGTGGTTCACTCTGGCATAATTCGGATCCATCTCATCATCATCTATGTCAGGTCCTCCAGGACCACTCGAATAATCAAGCAGGCCTCTCAGTTGCTTTTGTCGTAACTCCTGATGCTTTGCTCCAATCCTAATAATGAAAAACAAAAATACAAATATGCAACTGGATCTGCTTTAACATCAACAACAGACACTGATTCATCACGTAAATATGGAGCACCAACTCCAAACCCAACTGTTTAGATCTTTCTGTACACTGTGAAACTGATGCCAAATGAAGCAGAATTGTCCACATGAAAATTTACCTCTCATAATCACCTTTGTAATCAAGGTGGTCATCATTCTGATGAAAAAAATAACGCTCAGTATGCTGGTTTTTCATAGCTGTCTGTCTGCATGCATGCATGCATACAGTTGCAATTCTATACCTGCTCTCCACTTTTGCAGTTAGTATACCTAACCCAATCCCAACACTTTTAATCTAAAGCAGCCAATAAAATTATTGTTCCCCTTTGGCCAGTTGACTTACCAGATTCTTATAAATAAACTAGCCTGTGAAAAGTGAATTAAATGTAAGCACACATGGAGAGATGGCACAGCTGCCTCAAATCAAATGGCCACAGTTAAATTGCTGAAGATTTAATTTTTTAATTTTATTTTGGATACATAGATGGGGAAATCATTTTGGATACATAGATGGGGAAATCATGCTTCATTATATGGGGGATAGGCAAAAAGTAAAACAGTAAAGAAATTAGTAGAAAACTGACAGAGATGAATTGGTACATATAAGTGAATTAAAGACTATTACTGGCAGTACTCCACTGTGATAAAGCCTTAAGTGGTATTACAAAATGCTGCTGCTAATCAGAGCCATTGTGTAATCTCTTTAGGATAGTAAAACATACTCAGGTAAACTTCAAACTCAGCTGATATTCAATGATTCAACATTAATTCTGGAGGAAAATGAAGAATAGAGCATGCAACTTCTGCTAACTGCTCAGCTATTCTACAACACCGCATAATTAAATGCCATGAGATGGATCAAGCAGAATGCTGATCACAGTACGTAATAAGTAACATTTACAGAAAATAAAGAGTTATTGAGGAAAAATGAAGAACAGAAGACTACAGAGACACAGTGACTGACACAAGAATTCAGCATTTACTGCTGACTGTAAACACTGGCACAGGTTGCCCACCCCTGAGACACCCAAGGTCAGGCTGGACCGGTCTCCGAGCACCTGAACAAGCTGTAGATATCCCTGTTTATTGCAGGGGTGTTAGACTGGATGACTTTTAAAGGTCCTTTCCAACTCAAATGATTCTATGACTATCTGAAGTACCACAGCACTGTAGAAGGAACAGTATAATTTGTACTACAGAAGAGTAAGTACAAAGGGTATAAGCAGACTTTGTTGCCTCAGTAAAGCATAAAGGTCTCAGAACTCTGCATAGTGAGACATGAAGATTTTGTGGAGAACCTTGAATGGGCCTGGAGAAGATGGCTCCTTCAAGAAAGAGATAAGCACATCAGGAGCTTATCTGTCTGACAGAAAGCAGCTAAGTAAGAGAGGAATGAAACTCATACCATTTATTTTGTTTCATTAGAATTGTACTATCAAAGTAAATGGTAATTACTTTCCAAATAATTTATACCTAAATAGGTTCACAAATAATTCTAATGAAAACAACTTGCTTTTCTACACACATGCCTGAGTACATTAAGGTGCATCATGCAGGCTTTCTAGTTAGGCCACTCCCTTATCTGTGCTAGGGGATATCTAGTGAGGATACTAAACAAAAGGATAAGATTTTAATACCTAAAATGTAGTAATGCTTTACAGTGGGATGAGCCTGCAAATGATACAGGGCCCTTGGCATAAGGGGTGCCCACCATCCACTCTGCCTTTCCTCACTGGAGCAGATCACCTTTCTCCTCTCTCAATATTTTCTTACAAAGACTAGGAGAGACATCATCATCTTCATAACACAACATTTCTGCTTTTCTTCAAACTCCCCATCTCTGCCCAACAAGTTCGTACTTCAATTTCTCTTAAAGTTTCATTAAAGGTAATCACAAGGCCTGAATGCAATCTACTACAATAATTCTTAGACATTAAATAAGAAGAACATAAGCAATAATTTGTCTATATCCTTAACACCTCCCAAGATTCCACAGTTAGGCTACCTATGAATTCCTCAGAATTTCTCCTTTTTTCTACCCAAAGTTTCTCTCCTCTGCATAGCTCCCTTCTTCCATACCTTTCGCCCTATTCCTCAGTTGCTTCAGGTTTTCATGCCACACACAGTCCCCGCTTTGCATTCAAATGTTGGCCCAGGTCAGGCACTAGCAGCGAGCGTAGCCTCACACAGGTGATCTAGTATCTTGCAGCCATCACAGGCTTCAAAACGTGCCTTTGATGCTGCACAATTCTTGCTCTATTCACAAGGGAGATTTTCCAGTAGAATCTTTTGGAGGGCACAGTCTGGTGTCAGCGTGTGATAAATTCAGTTAGCAAGGCACTTCTTTCATTTTACTGCTGATTGCTCTGGCTCAGTTGGATGATGGCTTCTTGAGATGGTGAGAGCTTAACAGCATTCACAGAATTATAGGACATGTGATTTACCCTTGGCAAAACTATCAGTGACACTGGTGTATTCCTTGGTAAAGGCCATACTTTTATTCAGAAAACAATGGGCAATAGTAGGGGGAGAAAAATCAACGTGGAAGAGCTGTATATGAAACCAGGAGCTAAAAAGTAGTGGTCAGCATTCCTCCCTGTCTAAACCACAAACTATTGCTAACAAATCAGCAATAATTAAAAAGCAGCTGAAAGCATGCAAAAGCCTTTATCCTCAAAGGGTTTGTGAATAAAGATAAAAGAGAGATTTTACAGGGTTTGGTGGAGGGAGTCAGCCTGCCCATGTCTGTGTGTAAAAAACATGAACTCACCATTCACACAAAGTAATTAGTTAACTCCTGGTCCATATGTGCAAAAGCCATTTGTTGCAGATAGTTCAACACCTGAAAGCTCTCATTTGTGCTACAGCAACAGGGGTGGGTTTCTACTGCAAATACGGCCTCAGACATCAATGAAGCAGGGAGGGAGGTCTGTGCTACTCATTTCCATCTTTTATACATAAATATACTTCAAGAGAAACCCTCTTGCAGAAGGATTAATATTTTACATGTCCCATATGGGATTACATTAGAAATGTAAAAATCTATCTATCTTTGTTTAAAAAGTTCACACAAATAACTGTTAGCTCCTGCACCCAACAATGCTATCTGTTTGGTAGCAGCCCTTGCTTCTCGTTATCCTGCTCTTCATCTACTAAAATTCACAGAGCACTTTGAGATTGTTTCTATCTTTCAGAAAAACTTTGAGGAAGATTACTTGAATGTTCTTAAAAATAAGGAAAACTGGTGAGCTTCAATCCCTATCAGTAATCAAAAAAGCCTAACAGACTTCAGTGCAGGAATATATCAGCTGAAGTCCAAGTTTAAGTCACAGTAGGGAATTACAGACCTGTATAGGATGACATGGTGAAGAAAAAGAGGATGCTGTAGGAATGGTCTTTTCACACACCAGTGTAGAAGGCACGGCACACATTCACAAAGAAAGTCACAGCAGCTTCTCAGAAAACGTGAAGACACAACATTCCTTGGACCAATACATCATCTATCCCCTAGGTATTTAAGATGTATTTGAAACCAAAAGAGTAGTGCAGCACAGCAACACCATGTGATTCTTGCTTTCATGTCTGACACTGAGAGCAATTTGTCCTGCTATCAATACTGGTCTATCCAGCACAAGAAAAGCTTGAATTAGGTCATCTCAATTTTCTTTTGTTCCTGTGAATAAGCCTATCCTCTTCAACTTCTCCTTGTGAATGCAACCTCCAATCACTTCCACTATTGTAAACTGAACCTTCTTGGGAACAATTATTTCCATTCGATACTATACTGACCAGTCAATACCAGGTTATGTGAAATTTTTCATGATCAATGTTTCATCTTTTCAACATGGCTATTACAATTGCATTAATATTTTGTTTCCTTCTTACTCTTCTGCACAAATCCATAAAGTTTGCTCTGTGATCTCATTTTTCACTTCAATCCAAATGCTCAAATACACAGAAATAAACTGCCAGACAACTGATTCTTTTTTTCCTTCTTGCTATTTCCTAGCTTCCCAGGCCTTCTCTTACGTTTCTTGCCTTGGAAGTTGCTTCACATTCTTCCGAAGTTTTGAAGAGCGTGACTGCACTTCAGCATCATGATTTTTGCCCATTCTTAATGCAATTTTTCTACAGCACATCCCAGTATATGTAGTATAAAAAAAGTGAATATTCTGTTCCTTCCATTGTTCCCATGAAGCTTTGCCAATCCTGTTAAGCAGATTACTTCTGCTATATCCCATTCTATTCCTCTTACATTGCACCTTCCTCCCTATCTGAAAAAGCATTATCTTTACTTCTCACCACAAAAATAAAGAAAATTCTTCTAAATCAACACAATTTTCATACCAGCTTACAGTTATTAAGAGCAAACAACAATCACAAGAGAATCCAAGAGCTGAAAGCACAGGAAGGGTCTGGTAAAACAACTGGTGCAAATTTGTGGCAAAAGATAAAATATCACTCAGCACCATGATGCTGGCAGTGAAACCAGAGATGAGGAGAGGCACAGGTCAACATCTGAGCAATTTAGTGTAACACTGAAGTTTCTACAAACTTCCTGATGAGAGAATGGGAAAAAAGTGCCTCTTAGAATGAAGGGAAGTTAACTATATTTCCTTTTGGGTATCCATATCAATCCTGCTCACTCTCTTCCGCCACCTGAACATCATGCTCTCCAGTTAAATCATGGCATGGCAACTACATCAACTTCCCTTAGCTGCATTTCTGTAAAAACACAACCTTTGCACACAAGCAGCCAGAGAATAAGCAACAGAAGTGCTGCATCAAGCAAAGCCCTTTTATTTCCTGTGACCCACCTTTTCCTCAACAGCATCCAACACACATCCTATCTTTATCTTTTTTGTCTCCTTTGAGACCCACTATCACTTTTTATAAAACAAATCATTTCAACAAAAAATTCTAATGTGATAAAATATATAACCT